GGTTTAGGTGGTTTAGAGTTTAGGGCTTTAGGGTTTAGGTGGTTTAGAGTTTGGGGCTTTAGGGTTTAGGTGGTTTAGAGTTTAGGGCTTAGTGGCTTGCCATGGAATGGCGCGTAGGCGACAGGATCGTCTGGAGCATCGCTTTGTGCGATGAACTGTGAAAGGCTGTCTATAGAAAGCTTTTCCTTCTTGCTCTCCAACCCCACACCGCAAAAGGCGGCCAACCGATTGGACCGACGGACAGGGCAGGGGGGCTAGGGGGCAGGCGGCAGAGGGCAGGGCACAGCAGGAGCAGTTTCGGCTTTAGGGTTAGGGTCTCAAATTCCAGGGTTTTGCAGGAATTCAAAGACCCCAACCCCCCAGCCGGTGTGTACACGCACCCTGAAACACAGTCACACGATGTCACTTATTGGAGCCTTGGTACGGCCCCTGCCACCATTTTTCCCAAACCTCCACCTGTGCCTGTGCCCTCTGCCCTCTACCCTGCGGCCGAGCGTCTCGTCAGAACGGTGAGGGTAAAGCTCGGTGTACGTGGAGCCAGGCTGGCAAATTCCAGGGACCCGGCTTCCCGGCCGGTCCTTTAGGGGGCGATCCTTTAACTTGCCCAAAGAAAGAGGCTGAAACCCTAAACCCTAAACCCTAGACCCAAAACCCTAAAATTTCGGGGCCGGTCAGCCTCACAGGGTGCGAAGGGCGATTTGTTTCTTGGAAACCCTTGCTTCTCGGAGCGGCCGGCACAGGCCGAGAGGACCCACACCCCGACAGCAATGCTGTGGCTTCCTATGAAAGGTGGTCGTTTATGTACCGAACTGCGAAGCGAAGCAAAGAGCAAGAACGCCCCCGTTTCAGGGGTGTTCGGGAGAACCCTAAGTGAGAATAATTGGGATGGTTGGGGCGGGGCTGCATGCTGACGCAAGGCGCGCGATAAGTGGTTGCGCTCCCATTCCTAAAGAGGCGCACCCTTCGCGCGTGCACGCACCCTAGACCCTAAACGCTAAACCCTACTTCAAAAGCCCCCTGAAGCCGAAACCCTAAACCCCTCTAAACCCTAAGCCCTAAAACCCTAAAGCCCTAAACCCTAAACCCTAAACCCCACCTGAGCCCTGAGCACCAAGTTTCCCAGGCCACCAGCTTTTTGCGGGCTTACACCCCCGAAGCGGAGATCGCTGGCAGTCTCCATGTGACTATCCTTTGCGGCAGGGGATCGGAAGAGGCCTTAAGGGGTTCCCGCCAAGGTTCTGGACGGGTTATACCAAGGGGTACTATCTAAGGGTTCCTATACGGGTCATGAGTTCTGATCTAGGGTCCCCAACACTTCGGCTTGTTTTTCTGTGTACAAGATAAGACAATATGGCCCTGAGGCTTGGGGACCAAATTGAAACCTAGGACGCTACACCTCAACCCAAAAGACTCGAGGTGCAAAGCCCTGCACCTTAGGCCCGGAACTCTAAACCTAACCCTAAACCCTAAACCCTAAACCCTAAACCTTAAGCCCTAAGCCCTGAGCCCTCCAGATTTCAGGGTGAAACCCAAACCCTAACCCTCATCCGAGCTCACGCAGTCGCCGTCGTTGCGCTCCCCGAGCTCATCAGACCCGTTCCCGTGAAATGTAGAGGTGGAGGGTCCAAGGAGGTAGTGTTCAGGACGCAGAGTTTGGGGTCATCGGGTTTACCGATGAGGGTTTAAGGATGGGGGTTTAGGGTTTAGGGATTAGGGATTAGGGTTTAGGGATTAGGGATTAGGGTTTAGGGATTAGGGTTTAGGGTTTAGGGATTAGGCTTGAGTCTCTAAGATAATGAGGAGGCCTTTTACCGCGGTGCTCTTTGGTCGGGGTCATCGTGCTTGCAGGTCGTCCGTCGTCCGTGGGATGTAAATGTCACAGGGTTGATCAGAGGCCCCGGTGCAAAGGGGGCCCTAAACCCGAGACCCTAAACCCAAACCCTAAACCCTAAACCCTAAGCCCTAAACCCTAAACCCTAAACCCTAAACCCTAAGCCCTAAACCCGAGACCCTAAACCCTAAACCGCTCTGTGTGTTTCGGACCATTGAGGCTGAATGAGGTTTCAATGGGGGCAAAAAGGGGGGGGGGGCAAATGAAAATTGTGAGTGCTGGAACTCGATTTGCTTACTTTAGGAGCCTCAATGAATACTAGAGCTATCTAGAAGTCTTCCTCAAGGCTCTTTCAAATCATCATACTATTATAGTAATTCCTGAATGCTTGTGCCATACTAGAATATGCCCCGAATCCTTATTCTGGCTGCTGGGGCATGGAGGAAGGCTGCCCACAAGCCCGCAAAAGTTTAAGAAGCTTCCTTCGTGTGCAGGTGGTGACGCAGCTCATTGATGCCAAGGCAGACATGGATTTTCGTCTTCAGACGCCTCTCCTGAGCCCCCTGGGCTTACTTTTCGCTTGCATGGGACTGCGACATCGCTGGAGGGCGAGTACTCTGAGCACCTATGCTTATCATCACGAGAATGCCACGCCTCTCATGTGCAGTGCCTGGGTCGCAGGTTCTTCAGCCTCTCCCTGCGGAACAGTGCTACTACTAATACTACAAGCAGCAGAAACAGAAGCAGAGTGATGCACACGTTCATGATGCTGACCACAGTCGGAAGTGCAAGGAGTCACAGTAGAAGCACGCGCAACAACAAGAGTATCAGTTCGAGGAGGAGCAAGACTCTGCTGGTGGTTCTAGTACTAGGTAGCGGCAATGGTAGCGTTGCAAGTCAGACTGGTAGACACAGCGGCAAGAGGGGTGACAGGGGTAATATTGTCCCCATGCCAATAGCATTAGTACGAACCATGAGACTGGCAGTAATAGTGGTATCAAGCAATAGCAGTGGTTATGGTACTGTTAGCAGCACTCAGTTATGACGACACTTGAAGTGGACACGATGATGCTTGTGATTGCATTTATGACGGACTCTTGGAATCTTAGAACTAGTGGTTATAGTTTCGATGTCTGATTCAGCAACAGCAGCGTTGTGCGCGGTTCTGACACAGCAACAGCAATCAGGGCATCCGCTGCAATAGACGGAGTATAAGCAATCACAAGCAGCAACACGCAGAGGTATCATCACGAGCTCGTTCGAGACGGCGGCTGCCTCGTAGCGGCAGGCGCGGTTGCAGAAGCGAGCAGAATGATGTACAGAGACCAGTTAGGACATGTAGCCTTCTTGGGCTTGATCTCGACGACCACAGATGGTGCGTCAGTATCAACTCTGCAGCGTGATGCCATCTGATGGGAAGGTTCTGATCACGGGGGTGAGACAGTGTAGGTCCTAGGTAGTGTTAGGGAGACCCCTTAGAGGGGACCCTTCTGAACCCTGCTTGTGGCTCTCTTAAAGGGGACCTTATTGAGAGGGTCTTTCTCCCCAAGGGTCCCCCTAATCCTAACTCCCAGTAGGGTCTGAAGCTTCGGGGACTTGCTGAAACCTCCAGCGGCCGAGCCTGGACGGCAAAAGACCAACGGCGTCCTTCCACACTTCGTCAATGCCGAATTCGTAGACTCCTTGTAAGTTTAGGGTTTAGGGTTCAGGGGTTTAGGGTTTAGGGCTTAGGGTTAAGGGCTTAGGGCTTAGGGCTTAGGGTTTAGGGTTCTGTAGACATGAAGCAGACATGGTCATGTGGAATATCCACAAGAAGAGCAGCAAGAGCGAGCAGGACAGCTTTCTTGCTGTTCCTGCTAGTGCGATTGAGGCTGTTGCCACTTGAGGCGTGGGCTTGTCGCTGGAGCCGCTTAGGAATGAGGGGCTTCGCACCAACTTAGTCCTAGACGTTCAACGCCAGCAAACTTAAATCCTCAAGCCAATCCCTTCTAACAATCCGAAACCCTGAAGCAAAAGAGCGCTGAGCCCGCCAATTTCCACACTCGAGACCCCTGTGTAGTTCCGAAGCTTCAACAGTTTGACCAAAAACCGAGGTTTCTTAAGCCCAACTTCTTGAATTTCCATTCTGAGGGCCAATGCCATAGACACCTAAGCCCCACATCACATGTGCTACCGTCAAGCCAAAGCCCTCAACCCTAAGCCCAAAACCCCAAGCCTTAAACCCCATAGCCCTAAGCCCGAAACCCTAAACTCTATAGCCCTAAGCCCGAAGCCCTAGACCCTATAGCCCCAAGCCCTAAACCCTAAACCCTATAGCCCTAAGCCCTAAACCCTATAGCCCTAAGCCCTAAACCCTATAGCCCTATAGCCCTAAGCCCTAAGCGCTAAACTCGACAAGCCCTAAGCCCTAAACCCTAAGCCGGTTTTCAATCTCCGAGCCTTCCCGACCCTGCAGGGGCACGCACGGATCTTCGAAACTCCCGCGGCTGCTCTGCGGCCGACTTGGCATTGGAGATGGGAGCGCCGGACTTCGTGAGGGAGGTGGGGGGTTTTTAGGGTTTAGGGTTTCAGGGGGTTTAGGGTTTCAGGGGGTTTAGGGTTTTAGGGTTTTAGGGTTTAGGGTTTCAGGGGGTTTAGGGTTTTAGGGTTTTAGGGTTTAGGGTTTGGTCAGGGAGGTGAGGGGTTTAGCTGTATGGTTCCTTCTAAAAAGGTTCTTGTCAGGATGTTCGACGGGTTGCTTCATACGGGCTTTAGGGTTTGGGGTTCGGGGTTTAGGGCTTTGAGCTTGGAGTTTGGCTCTAGGGTCAGACCCTAAACTCTAAACCCTAAGCCCTAACAGGGGTTTCGGGTTCAGGGTTTGGGGCGTGGGATCTGGGGTCAAGCAGGTTTTTGGGCATTTGGGGGGTCTGGCCCCTTAAGTTGTTTAGGCTAAAAATCTAGGAATCTAGGGCTTCCTGGCTGATGGGACTGAAGAATGGAGGCTTTCGGGTGGTTAGGGCAGGGGGATCCCGGGCTTTCAGGGTGTTGGGGTTTTACGGTGTTTTCCGGGGTTTTTCGCCCTTGGGATTCAGGGTGAGGCTTCTCATTCTCACTCTTTTTCTTGCCTCGCCTTGGTCATTTTTCTTGGATCCGACGAGGCCAGGCCACCGCGTCTCCTTTTTTTTTTCTGTGTGGGGGTTCCGAAAGCCGCCGATTTATGGTTTTGCAACAGGCAGAGCCCTAAACCCTACACCCCTGTTGGGCCTCAGGGTTTGGTGGCCCTACGGTGTTTGGCTTGAGGGTTTGGACCTACCCTGAACCCTGAACCCCAAACTTACAGGCTTCCTGGCGTACCGTAAGCCTTAACATCCCAATAATTCTATTGATCCACCTTATGCGTTCCTGTATTCTTGAAGTCATTTCATATCATTGTTTGAATGCTGGTTCATGTTACGATGTATAGCAGCAATAAGTTTATTTTATTCCCCCTTCCTCCCCCTTATTCGTTTCAGTCTTTTGCTTACTTATAAAGCTTCTGGGGCTTCCCGTGTTACAGTTAGACCTCTTAGCATAAGTATATGATAAGTTCAAAGGATTGGTTTATTGTAAATATTCCTCCCAATGTTTTTCAGCGTGAAGTTTAATGCCATGGTATATTGTTTTTCAATCATTAAGTCCTTTGCCACTTATCAAATGTTGCAATATTTCACACATAGCGAAGTCATCGTTCTGTAAAGTTCTTGGTGTTCCATTTTCAAGTATATATTCACCATGCTGTTTAATAAGTTCTTCGCTGTCATTGCCTTCATAAATTCATTTTAGCTTCTCATGGTTTTGGTGTCCATATTCAGAATAGGACATGGATATATTTAAACGAATGTCTTGATTTTCATGAATGTTTTAGCTCCCACGGCTTGGTTACTATTATACTAGAGCTTTTGTCTTTAAATGTTTGTTCATGTCTGGAGTTTGTTATTTCTTTCTCGGTTTCTTATCGGGTATGACCGTGACCTACTCGCTCCCCTTCTCAAAAATCTAGTGTCATTGCTTCCGCTTGGTTCATGTCCGGAGCTTGCGGGGTTCATGTCCAGTGCAACCCAGCCCAAACAACGCCCAAACCCAGAATAAACGCTACCCAAAAGGACTTCAAGACAAAACGCCCTTAACAGACACCGCGACACCCCAAACGGACATATTTTAAAACGTGAAAACCTTTACCCGGAAATGTCACTCTAAACATTGTGTAGTTTACTTGTTGTAACTCATGCAAAGAGACTACTGAAATGATTGAAGTGACAATGGAAGAAAAGAAAGCGAAAAAAACACAAAAGAGAAAATAACGACAAATAAGAGGTTGTAATCTTGAAAAAGAGAGAGCGGGCATATGGCAAAACCACAGCGAAAACGACTTCATTTTTAAAACGGATTTGGATAACTAGCAATTGTAAAACTTAATGACCCAATAGCAACCACCATACCCAGCCCAAGCACCCCCCCCCCAATCCAGAAAAAAACGCTACCAAAAAGGCTTTAAAAACCATAAGCCATTGTAAGGTATAAGGTCTATGGCAGAACCCCGTTTAAACGATGTGATGAAGTATGTTTTAAGTAGCGATATCGGTGAAATAAGTAAGAGTCAAATGTCACCAAGGTTACGACCGCTTCTTCGGAGAAAAGGTGCGATCTCAGTGTTGCACGCAGAACCTTAGATCGGCTGAAGACCATTGTCGAGAGCATGTCCGTTCAGAACAGAGGGATGGCAACAGTTCACATTCACGTTTCACTACAAGCCGTGGTCATCGAGAACATGCTGTTTCCTTTGCATGAAAGTTCAGGCGATGCGAGGAACGACGCAAAAAGGATCCTGAGGGAAACCTATGTGAAAGCCACGATGCTCGAAGGAGGAGTCAGTTCATCGGGTTGGTCGCCGTTGGCGCCTGCATCGCGTCCGAGTTCGAGGCTGCCTAGTTGTGCATGGATCCTCATGTTGGTGCAAGCTGGTTTGCTCTCTCGAGGACAACGACAGCGGTTCGCACCTTCTTTCCACTGATCCAGTCGGAAATGGGGATACACGATCATTGCATCATTGCGCTTTTGCCTTGTACGAGAAACAGCTCTTTTGCGAGAAGATGGTTGCCGCGTGCTTCGTCCCGGAACAACTGATCACCAAGTCGAGTGGGTTGATCAACGTCCAGACCAGTACTTTGGGAGGACAATCGTCCTCAAAAGTCGACTCGAAGTCACGGGTGTCTACGGAGAGACGTCAGGAGATCGAGATTGAAGGAAAGCGCAACAGCTTTGCTGGGTGCTCTTCCGAAGTGGCAAAACTTCGACATCTCCTTGACTATTCCCGAGATCTACCACGACGAGAACTATTACTGGTTCAAGATCGACGAGTATTCCACCGCTGAGATCAGCGGCGCGGAAGGCAAGGCATTCTCTTGCAGCTATTGTGAATGGCAGAAATCACCTGGAGTGTTCTGCGAGGAAACCACGAATTTTGAAGGGTTCGGAATACCCTGCATACTGCATTGGATGTGCCTACAAGAATGCTCTTCGAACTTCTGCGTGCTCCATTCCAGATTACGCGAGACTCAAGATCGTCGAGCAGTGCGCCTTGGCATCGGCTAGCTACATCTATGATTCCAAGCTTCAATTTCTTCGGCCGCAAGACAATCTGGTGGAGT